GGTATTTGTCATTTTACACGTACAACGACGGATGATTAAACGGAATGTGAATATAAATATAAAGATGGAAGAGCTAGTTGTAGCAAATAGGAAAACGGAACGATTAAAAATCTCTTACGTTAATCTTTGATAAATCGATCGGAAGGAACGGAAGCGCGAGGAGCAAAACTCTCGCTGTTAATCTCCGCGTTTGCTTAAACGGAGCACAGCTGGCCGACTAATTAATTTTTTCTCATCGGAGGCTATCTGACCGGCAGGGAGGAATATGTACATGATGTCGTCGGTGTACTTCAAAGCGATCGGCAGTCGCATTCGGATGGAAGGGGACAAGTCAAACAGCTCGACGTTCAAAGAGACGGACTTTTTATGGGATAATCTTCTACCTCTTGCTGCTCTTTTTCCCGTTTTACCTAACAACCAGTATGAGTATGAATGGATATTTGTGATGTAAAGATACATGACTCTGTACGTTAATTATACTTGTCTTTACTACGCTATTAAATATCCTTAGATAAATTCAACTCCCTGTTAATCTTTTCTTAACTTCAGTTTTAATATGAACGATAATTGTTAACATTACACTTTATTTTCGAGAGATAAATTTAATGATTTGTTTCGACTCGATTTTCATTATAAAAAAAAAAGGCAAATTAAACGCGATGTAAAAAAGAGAAAAGTGAAAGTGATTGAGGAGGGAGTAATGGAATCGAGTAAAAATAGTGGGATGAATATCCGGCTGTCCGAAACAAGCCTAAATACGTCTCGAAAATATTCTATGGCGTAACGGGCGAATGGTACAAAGGATTCGGCGGAAATGTCGGGTATACGACTGAATCCTACAAATAATCCCGTCGAAGTGTCGCCACGCTTCGATGGACACATAAATGCCGGGCTCGTTCGGGCATGAGTTTCTTCCTTCTCTCGAGAATCGCCCACGCTGATCTCTTCGTCTCTCTCTCTCTGTGTTATCGGGTAGAAATCGAATTTTAACGATATTTTCACAGTGGGTGAAGTATCTGTGAGGTTAGCACGATTTCATTCGTAAGTTTTTTTACAACAAATGGAAGAAAAAGATAAGATAGAAAAATATTATCATTGTTATGAAAAATGTTATCATTGTTATTCAACGACAGTTGACAGAACAGCGTGTTAAGAAAACATGTACAACATTTCAAATGATATAAGATTAAAAATGATTATGTAATTTTGAATCGAATATCGTGAGTGTTGGCGCGTATAAGGGTGGTTTGTAATACGAGATCGCGCGCGTTTTATCGAAAATGCATACGAGCAGGGAGAAGGGTGTAGGAATAGCGAATTCATGAAAGTATTAAAATGCAAAGGGCATAAAATATATTTGAAAGTTAAATACGAGTCAAGTGGCGTCCCCGATAGGGTGTAACCAAACTCTGACGTAGCCCCTTCCATTCCTCTTGTATTCATTGTGTTTCGATCGTTTCGCCAACTTCTCTCCGCGTACAAGAATATTTTCCCAAACCACAATATCCCAAATCATATCCATATCTTCTACATTCAAAAACACCAAAGGGCAAAAATATTCAACAGATCTGAACTTCCTTCCATCCCAAAAGGAGAAGAAAAAAGGGACTCGTCAAAAACCTATTTTTCACCCTCAACCACCTACCTACTATCAAAACTCACGCTCTCCAAACTTTTTCACCGCTCCATCATCCATCGAGGATCGGCGATGCTTTCCTTCTCGAACAGGGCGTACAATGGCCGCGCGATTCCCGAGGATTCCCTGACTCGTGTACAAGGAGGAGAGGGTTAGAGGGGCAGGGGGCCTCTATTGTTCCGGTGTAGCCTTAATGCGCGCCGTTGTAAACAGCGTTACAATGGAATAACTTCGTTAGCATAATCGCGTCACAGAGTCGCCTGGCGCCCCCTGCCTCTCCCGCTCCACTGCACCCCTTTTGGATTTTACGGGTGGTTTCCCCCCGGACGGCCTCGTGGGCGGACCCGATCCGATCCGCTGCCGCGTTTAACCGTCGCTCGAGTATTATTCATTGTCGCGATTGAATCGTTTATCTCGTCGGCGCTCGGGATGGCCGCGCGACGGGATCCCGACGACACGACACTGATCGTATACACGGCATCGACACGGATCTCTCGATGGGCGACGATTTGATCGCTAAATGGGGTTAAACGACCCGTCCACGTTATGAATATCCCGGATGACTCGCGAAAGATTTCGATCGTGTTACTTTCGATGTCGAGTCATCTGTCTTTGGATCCCTCGTATGAAAGTGGTGAAATACGTCGATTAATTTTGTAACTAAATAATTTGTCGACAACTCGGAATTGATCGTAGAAATCGTTTCAATTGAATATAGTAATAATAATTTGAATTTTAACTTTCTGTAGGTAATATTTTGAAGTAGAAGGGGGTGATTTGTTACAATTTTGATTTGAAATGTGTGAAGTAATAAATTATAAGTTGTATTCATAAAATAGAAAATTGTTTTTTTCATCAATACAAATTGTCAAAGTATGATCCAAAGATGATTTATATCTTTCACGTGACACGGCGGTTATTATGGGGTTAATACTTATAAATCGATAGACAATGAAATTTTAATTTCGATTAAACAAGGTTAATCGCTATAAACTGAAGATAATACGAAACGAATCAACGTTTCTCCCAGTAATTACGTGAAATCCCCGCCAGGCGAAATCGAATTAATTCTACGCGCGATCCCGCCGGCGTACATGACATTTTTCGCCCTCCAGTCTTCGTTCGCGTTCACAATGGAAATGTTAAGCGAATCGTGGATTCGCAACGCTCGTCACTCTTGTTCGTCTCTCGACAAAGCGGTTCTCCCGTGTCCACGAACGTCAATTTAAGCGCAAGGGCGCCGTGAGCTGCTTGACACGTTGACGACCGCCGCCATCGTTGATGGAAAGATGATCGAGAAGCGTCCTCGAGGGACTGTCTATCGGTGGCGCAAATCGTTATGCGATAACTATTCCATGGATTATTGGCGGATCGTTTTAACTCCGTTTTATTTGATTTCGTTTTTCGCTTTTCCTGAATCTCGTTGCTTCAGGATGATGAAACTTTTTCATAGAGAATATTGCAATTGCATGAATTTATTCTTTATGGTATATCAATTATTAAGAAAGAAAATATGCTTTTTATAAATTTTTATATGAAGAATTCTCTTGGGCAGTATTATTTTCATAAATTGGAAAGGATTGGATCGCATAATTAAAATTTTATTTAATTATAAATTTGCATAAGATTAAATCCGTGGAGTTATTTCTTTGTTATTATTGTCGTAGAATTGTTTTCTTGATTTAAATAGTTAAATTCGTTGTTAAAAAAGAAAAAAAGTCATCAATGACGAATTCATTCCAACGGGGATGGAAGGAAACCCACACAAATTCGTGGTTGTTGCTCCATTAGGGACTTTCCCCCCCGGCCGCCCGTCGTCGTACTGATTTCTGGCTTCTCCCAGTGCGACGAAAAATAATCTCTTTTCTTCTCGTCTCTCCCTTCTAGGCTTAGAACGCCCGCTGCGGACGTCAAAATATGACAGCTCTCTCGGGTCACCACTTTCCGCCACAAGAGTTGCGTTCAAGGGGGTTGCGACGAGCGATCATTAAAATAAAGTGGCGCTCGCAACCACCGTGCTCTTAACTGCGTTTTCTGTTCATATATTCTTCCATGAAAATCAACCGTTTAAACATTATTTTTTTCCACAAAATCGTTCACTTTTCAAAGAAAATATCAAACACATTTTATTTCCTTTTCCACTTCACATAAAATATTGAACTTCTTTGATGACATAAGAAAAATAAATATACATAAGTTGTAAAATCTAATTAATTAAATGTATAACATTTTTTTTTATTTTGAATATGTCGAATAAATAAAAAGAGTTTATTTGGTAAAGTAATTGAATCGTTTAATTTGTTTGATAAAGTGCCAATAAAGTGTCATCACGATATGATTATGAAGTTAATTTGGATAAATAATATAGTAAGTATAATGTAGTTTACGGTTTAAATGAGCATTGCAATGAGAACCACTGTGTGGTACGCGGTTAAGCTGACGGAAACGGTAAATGGTTCGCATCCAACCCCCTCAACGAGACGCTAATTCATATTCATAGGTGTAGCGTTTAGTATTGTGCCGCTGTGATTCTCCGGAGAGTTTGCCCGAAGAAGAACGTCGGGAAGGAGAAACATCAAGTTACATTAACTTGTCGCGTTGTCATTGCGCATAAATTCACTGATATTAAGACATTTCGTACGTCTTTCTTATTTTCAATTCTGTTTCTTACAAAAAAAGGTATACTTTTATATACTTATTTATTTATAATGTTATGAAATTAATTAATAAAACGATATGAATTGTTTTTAAAAATCTCATTGAAGAATATTTATAAAGCTTCCAATGTAGTTTTGCATGTGAGATATATTTCAGAATAAGTAAATATGATTGACATAAATCGATATTTAATCTAAAATTAGTAAATTTTTGACGATAATTTGAACGTTTTAAACAAAAATCGAGAATTTATTTCAAAATAGGTAATCGTTCTGCCATCTGTTAACAGGGCAGGGAATTAAACTATCTCATATGTCTATCAATCATATAGATTAAAGGATATGTGTGAATATAATACAATATCACGAATCATTTATTATTATTCTTATATTTTAATTCTTTCTTATTACGTACTAGATAAATATAAATTTTTCTTGGAATATTATTATATAATAACATCTCAATCATAAAATTTTATATAAAAAATGTATTTTTAAATAACCATAAATAAAAATATATTAATAAAAAATTATTTATTAATAATGCTAATTATAAATACTCTCAATTGTTACTTTAAGTAATTTACAATTACTTTGAGTAAATTACGAGGGTTATTTAATAATATATTATATATCTAATATCAAAATGTTAATAATTTATTATATAATAATAATACTTCTATAATAAACATAATATATAAATAAAATAAAAAAAATTAGATTTTATCTACGAATTTTAATGTAATAAACATTTAGCAAAATAAGTTTAAAACCGAATATAAATATTTTTTGCATTGATAAATCATATATATATAAATAATTTACCTAGTAATGCAGTAAATTATATTCCTCCTTCATTTTTATTTGGCTTTACATTAGCTTTACGAATATGATGGTAGCTTGGTAAAATTTTTAATAAAAATTCTATTTGACTTATTGGAGGCTGTAATAAAATATGAAATTATATATACTTCAAATGTCATTTATGATATAATCTGAAATTCAATAGAAACTTACATATGGTTTATCGTGCATTTCTCTACGTTGACAATCATTACCATAAATTATAGTATTTTCAGGTATTATATCTGGTTCTGTTAATGAACACGATGCTCCAATAATACAACCATTGGTTAGTTCAATTTCTCGACTCACATGTGCTATAAATAAAAGTACAATTGTACTTAACACATGTATATAAATAAATAATTTTTTATTAGTGTATATTAACCTTTGCTTTCTAAAATATTATTATCTCCAACTTTAAATGCTTCACAAGTACAATCAGTCTCAAATACATTATAACTGCCTATTATTTGTACGGGAATTGTTGCTGGTTCTGGAGCATCTGGTGGTAACCTATAACAAAATGATCAAATAATTTATTTTAATATGAAAAAGAAAAAAAAAAGAATATGATTGATAAGTACATCTGAAATTACCTATTTGCTATAGTTGCCATTTCTTCTATAATGTTTCCTTCACCTATTATGATCGGTCCAGCTTCTGCAATGATACTTGCTCTTGGATGAATTATAGTTTTTGGTCCAATAGTAATGTCCCCTTTTAATATACTTTCCTCGCATACTAAAGCTCCTACTGCTATTTTTACACTGCAGAAAGATTCATATATTTCTATTTTATAATACAGTAACGGACATAACCTCAAATAAGGTTGGGATATTAAATAAGTAACGAATATCTTGATTTTAATAAATATATTACAATATATTATAAATTCTTTTTAATAAATAAAGAAAGAAATATTACTAAAATATAAATATATAAATGAAATAATGATAAATTTTGTGAATTTTCTCACTTTGTACGACGACTGACAAATGAACTCATTGTAGCGGTTAACACTATGTACTTGTAGCGCCATCCTTGATGATTTTCATGTACTACTTGCCGCGGATTTTTTGAAACTTAAACTCACAAATTTGTATTAATATTAAATATATAAATATAAATATAATTAACATAAGATATTTAATATAGATCATAAAATCTATTGTGAAATTTATAAACAATATCGATAATTTCATTTCATTAAATTTTTTCATTGGATTAAATTGTATTTTAAATCTATACAATTTTCTAAATAAAATTTCTATTTCAAGACTATTAGGAATAGCATTAAAAATTCATCAATTAAAATTGATAAATAAATAATAAAAGTAAATATAAAAATAAATAATAAAAATAAATATAAAAATAATTAATAAAGTATAAAAAATTATTATCAAATAATGTTCACATTTTCAGATTTTTTCCTCTCATTTATTTAATTTATTATTCTTGCTGAAAAATAAAAGAAACAATATACAAGAAATGATGAACAATATAACAAAATAATGAAAGAGAAAACAAAATTTGTAGGAAGACAGCGTAATTTATAATGACAAGTCTGCCTTGAAAGGAACCTTAAGAGGAAATGCTAAAAAGGATTAAGAAAATTGAGAGAGGGGATTAATGTGAACAAGGTAAGTCGATAGCGCGTGAACCGCACCATCCTAAAGAACATAACTCTTTCACTCGTTTTTTCTTTTTTTTTTTTTTTTAATCGATATTTAATATAACTCTATATTATCCGTCAACTTTTATTTATTATATATATATTTTTATATATTATATATTATAAAATTTAACTCCAAATTGCGATAATAACGTCTAATTGCAACGTGCGTGCGCGTGTACGTGTTGCGCCTTTGTGTGTGTGTGTTTTGCATTAATTTTTTTCTTTAATTCTCCCTTTCTCTCGCTCTCTCGCTTCCTCACTTTCTCTCTTCCATTCGTTTCGTTTTTGTGATTATTATTATTCTTTTTTTTTTTTTTTTTTTTTAATATTATTTTGTCTCTTAAACCGTACATCGGATTATCCCCGATGTCTAAGTAATTGTAATTGTTTCCTGTATCAGTGTCAATGTATTCGATTGTGTATGTATATATGTATGTATGTATGTACTTATGTATATGTTGTACCTGTGTTTTGTACGCTGTGTACATATGGGTGGGTCGGTGGTTGTGGGTGAACGATTACAGGTGGTAATGTATCTTGCACTCGCGCGTACGTGACTGTGTACGTGTTTTTTTTTTTTTTTCTTTATCTACAGTTAAACGAATTCTACGCACTTACTCGTTAATCGGCAGAATAATATGCATTTCTTAATTTCGCTATAAGTATATTTAAACCGTCCGAAAACGTGTCAGTCGGCGCACCGTGACGGATTCGCCATCGCTCTCGTCGAGCCTTCTTCCATTCCAATTTGTTCCTATTTCTTTTATACTCTCATACTTGCCCCTTTTTTTTCTCCTCAATGTTATAATATAATTCAACATTCAATCCTCTCTCTCTCTCTCTCTCTCTCTCTCTCTCTCTCTCTCTCTCTCTCTCTCTCTCTTTCTCTCTCTCTCTCCCTCCTATTCATCCTTTTCCATTCTTTCCCCTTCTTTCCTTCTCTTTTTCGTTTTACGATTCGATTATATTTCATTTCTCGCATCTATGGCGTTTCAATAAACAACACCTTGTACGAGAAAACACGTTTCCCTCTTCCACTTTCGAACAATCATCGCCACATTTCTCTTTATTTGTTATTCTCCGTTACTTTTCCTTTGTATTCTTTTATTTCCACTCGACACGTCGCTCGACTCATTCGAAGGATTCGAAGTGATGATTAAAATCCGAATAATCCCTTAAGCAGCGTATCCTCGGGCAATACAATTAAATGGACGCGGTGAACGATATTATAAACGTTGATGTAACATGATGTGAATCGCTTTTTCTGTCTTTTTTTTCTTTTTTCTTTTTTTCTTTTACTCTTAGCATCGCGAATACAAAAAATGCGCTCGATTATCTCGTTCGATGAACGATGAATTCGTATATAGTGTTTTGGGCCGCCGCTTGAGGGATTAAACGTCACGCTAAATTACAATAATAAAGAGAAGAGGATTTTTGTTACGAGGCGAGGACGATACTTTACCGTGAAGAAAAAACTTATCTTATAAAGTTTGTTAAATGTCTAAACTACAGTCACGCTACGCGGTCTGCTAAGCTGCGCTAAAAATGTGGGACACTTTTATAACTGTAAAGTATCGGCGACGCTCCCGGTACGCTACGAAACTCGAAAACTTAGCGGCTTAAAAACTCGGCTAAACTCGACGTTCTCGATAATTGGCGTTCGTTATTACAAGCAGAAAGAACGCTATAGTTGAATAATCGGCGCTCGCTCGCCGCCATTTTTGTCTTTTTAACTGGCGCCACAATGAACACGATTTTAAAATTGTTTATATCAATTCGTTTATATCAAGATTCAAAAAACAGTCAGATATATTTAAGGGCGCCAGGATCACGTTCAGAATTTATTATATTAATATTAACCATTTCATGGAATTAATTTTCAACTAACAAAATTTTCCTACTATTATTCGCTCGACTCGAATTTTTTTTAATAACAAGTTTATAATCAAAATTCGTGTCCTCCGTATTTCGTCGCTTTATTTATTTATTTTTTTTTTTCACGAGAAGAGAATATACGTATAAAACACTATTTATTCAACTATACAACATCCTCTGCCTAATCGACGACACGGTCACAATCTGAGAGATCGCAGATCGATCGAGTCGCAAAGAACGTCGCAAACGCAATTAACTCACGGGGAACACGAGGTTCTCGAGTATGGTTCCTCGATCATCGATCGATCTTTTTTCCTTAGAATTTATCGAAGTTAGAATTTTTCTCGTGTAATGAAAAATTGTAAACGCGAGACCGAAATTATTCGAGAAAGATCGTGAACGCGTTACCCGATCGTTACTCGCGTTCCTCTTAAAGCGTCTATAACGATAATTCGCCAACGATATCGTGTTTTTTGACGACCAAACCGTCTCCTCTGCGATTTAAAAAACGGTCGGCCTTTACGTTTAATAATACCTAACTAACGAGTTAACGTGTGTGTCTTCAACCGGAATCGTTGATCGCGTACAAAAAACGGACTTAACAGCGAAGTGAAACGTGCGGCCGCAACAAACGACGTCTCTCGAAAAAGGAAAAACCTATTGGTCGTTGATCGTCATCACATTGATATATATTGAATCCACGAAGTGTCTCTTCACGATCATTTATACAGTCCGTGCATCGAGCATGGGGCCAAAACGATTTCCGTAATAATCCCTTTCATTGTCGAGAATTTGTCGTTCGTTCATTGTAACGAGATTAAATTTGTATTTTATTTTTTAGTTTTTTTTTTTCTTTTTTTTTTTTGGTCGATGAAAGAGATGGACATTCATGTACGATCCTTTTGTCGATGTAGTTAATATTTTGTTTTTTTGTTTGTTTGTTTGTTTGTTGATTTCAAAAGTCTGGGAAAACGTTTATTTAATATAAAAATGACGGGGTATTTGTACGTTTGAAATGTCGAAGATAAGTGATTTTATGATAAATTAAACGATAGAAATTCAATTCTTTGCACTTTTGTTCCGTGTTGTTCATAAAATTCATACAGTTTCATACAGTTTTCGTTTCTGAAATGTATGTTTTATCAAGCTTACAAGATTATTTTGTACAAAAGACAAGAAGCTTAACGTTATCGACAATCTGGATATCTAAGATAGTCTTTCTCTCTAACTAGAAACTATTCTTTCGAAGAAGAAAATGAAGAACACATGAAATAAAAGCGCAAAGAATCAACATATCGAATGAAATTACAAACGTACGAGTTCTAATATACAAGTACAAATATATATTATATAATTACATTAAATTCGCTAATTGTATCACATATACGTTTTCGACGTTATTTCCAATCCAAAAACCACATGTCTCGTTTCAAATTAAAATACTACTAATACTTAATAGCCGAATTTATAGCGAGGTTTCAATTTAGTCTAAAAGAAAAATCTATATTTCTTTCAACTCTTGAATTGTTGGAAAATTAAAAAAAAAAAAAATATCGACAAGCATATTATTATAATAAGAATGAGGAAAGCACACGATCGTCCGAAATCTGACGGAAATCGGATTGGCATGTACACGCTCGGGCATCGTGGCACGATGGATGATTTATCAGCCAGTGGTATGTATTTCGCCCGGCCGACGAAAGCGAGGAAAGCCGGTAACGGTGCGTAAAAAACGCTTCGAGAGGCTTCACCGCGGCGATGGATATTATTATTTAGTTAAGAAGTACGTGTTTTACGTATAAAGAGACGCGTCATACAGTGCCGTACAGTACCAAAACGTTTATAATGCGCACATAATGTAATACCTCGATTTAATCTCTATCTACGCGCTCGCGCAGACATCGTGTATGTAAAAGTGTTTTCCATTTTTAGTCGTATTTCTTTTTTTAGTCTCGCTGCAGGTGTGTGTATATCGTGTGTATGTATCCGTGTGCCTGTGTTCCTCATACTTTTTTTTTCTTTTTCTGTTTTTTTTTTCTTTTTTCCTTTCATTATATTTCCACGTGTTGCATCCGTGAGCCGGCCAGGCCGGTCCAGGGACAAAAGTTCCTTTTTTTTTTTTTTTTTTATTTATTTTATCTTTATTTTTATATATATATATATAATATGTCTCTCTAACACTTCCTTTTTTTTTATATCTTTCCATTTCTGTTTCACCTCTTTTTTTTACCACTTTTTGTTATTTCTTAAATCTTCTCTTTAAGCACAAGGGACCGTCGAATCTTGGCCGCGCCGTCGGAATTGTGATCGTTTTTTTTTTTCACCCTTTTTTAATTATTATTATTTTTTTCTTTAATATGTATTATATATTTATGATATTTATATATATGCGTGTATGTTTATACATATTATAGAGTCTAAAGTAGCTCAGAGAGGGAACTATGCGAACCACTAACGCGAAGTTGTGCACAGCGTGGCTGGCTGATCATCGTATCGATGATCTATTCTTTTTTTTTTTAGTTCATCGTTTTCTTTTTTTTCTTTTCGCTTCCAATTATATATTATTCTACTTTCTATTCTATCTTGATTCGTTACTTTTTTTTTTTTGTTTTATTTCTCTCGATGATAGTCTGTAACAAAAATTGAAATGACTCGACTCGATTTGACATCGATGCGATTCCCAGCCATGCTCGATACCATGACACGACTTCGTCGACACGACGCTATTTCGTTCGGGTAAATTCTTCACTTCTTTTTTTTTTTTTGCACCGTTTGCGTTTATTTAAATGTATAATCGGTTTGCTATGACGCGAGCGACGGCCCGACCAACATTCCCCCGTACATCGCCAGTCCCCCCGTAATATAGATATATGTATATATTGTATAAGTCGTCCGTGGACCGTACTGGCAGGGCCCTTAATTAACCACTTTTTTTTTTTTGCTTTATTTTAATTAATACAATATATATACTTTTTTATATGTGTATCATCATAACAACCGATATTTCTCAGTTCTCTCTCTCGTTAATTTTATTATCACGCAGCTATCTAACTCTCTCTCATTCGATCCTCTCTCCTCCTATATTTTTTGCATTTCTCCATTTATTTTCTTTTTTTTTTTCCCTGTCATATCGTTTTTTTGTCACTCTCTTTCTCACTCCCATTCGCGCTTCTCGTCTCTCTCACACGCACGCAATCGTATCACGCGTTTTCTCTCTCAAGCTTCATCACACTTTCTCTCTCTCTCTCTCTCTCTATATATATATATATAATATATTTTATATCTGTATATATATATATGTATATATATATATCGTATGTATATTTATATATATATATATATAAACATATATATATACTTCTATATATCTTTCATATATATACTTTATGTTGCTTTTTTATGTATACTTTATATATAACAATGTTATGTTTATTTAAGGCCCAATACGTTCTTTACGAAGGAAATAATCTGCAACAGAAAGGAGACGAATATACGGTTAAACGCTTGTACCTCTTTTGCTCCCTGTCGTAAGCACCGCGAGTATAGAATTATTCAGTCGATAGAGATGAGTCCGAGTGTTTTTTTTTTCTTTTCTTTTTTATTTCGTGAGTGTTTCTTTTCTCTCTCTTTCTCTCTCTCTCTCTTTCTCTCTTTTTCTGCGTATTTTGTCATTCAAAGTTTATTCTTTTCCCATCCTCTCTCTCTCTCTCTCTCTCTCTCTCGACGTCACTCTCTGACGCGACGATTCGTATCAACGAGGCTAAAAGAACGCAAGTAGATGTGTCTCGATATGATCAGACCGAGCGAAACAAATCTTTCCTTAATACTTATTAAATGGTTAATATTCTTTGCCCAAATCGAATCAATTGTAATAAAACTATGAAATATCGTTTCATTGTTCATTATTTGAGAAAAAGAAATATTTCTTTTGGACAAAGGTATAATTTAACAATCGAATTTTTTCCTCGAAGATATATCATCGATGCGTTTTAATTTTTATTCATCATTAACATTTATTCATCATAATTTAATTCACTTTGGACGAAGAAACGATCCAATTTTCTTTCTTAAATTTTTTAAATCACAAGGCTTACATTAAATTTGACTATCAAATATATAAAATCGATTTTTCTCGGTGAATAATTTATTTTTATCTGTAAAAATTATTGCCAAAATTCGTGTCTGGCTATCATCTATCATCGTTCTGATTGCCTCGCTTTTCTTTCACGCTGTTCCTCCTACGATCCTAAGTTCGTTTTTTGCACGCCATCATGTCTCAACGCTCCCTAGGAAGGATCGCTGTAGATCAGAAGAAACAAGTAACTTTCGCACAAAAGTTGAAAAAAAAAATATATCTGAAACTTCTTCTGTGATCTACTTAACGCGTATCGTATCAATAATGATAAAGCCTACCAGGTTTTCAGAAACCCTTCTCGTAACATTTTGATAAAACAAATTAAACACACGATAGATAATTTCGAATTAATTTATACAATATGTACAAGCGCAAAGATTTAGTTTACAATTACATACATGCATCAGAATTCGAAATTGATTTTGGAATGAGCCTGAATAAGAAAAGTTATTAAAATGTTGAATTAATTTTTGAATAAATTGGAAGTTATCAAATTTTGTCTCGCAATAATTGAAACAATAGGTTTTTGATTTCTTTTTTTTTTTAAATGTAAGTTAAGTAACTACGATACTTTAAAAAGTGATGTATCGTAACTTCCAATTGTCTTTATATTCTTAAAAATTTAATTCAACATCCGGGGTAACTTTCCTCGTGAAATGAAGGATAATTAAATTACCCTCGAATAGCGAATAACAAGAACATCCTTATATTTACTAATTACAGATTTTCACAGGTTAGAAAAAGCACATCACGTAACGAATAAATCGCTTATAATACTTTATTATTTCTTACAAAAGTTGTCCTTCGTTTAAACGTGTGTATAATTCAAAATTTCTTTTTCTTTACACAATAATGTATCGATTTAATATAATAACAATTATGGGGAGGACAAAAAAAAAGAAACTTAAAAAGGAAAAAAAGTATCGTACGTTTTTGAGAATAAATTAGTTAACATCGATGTTGTTATTTCGAGAAGAACCCATAACACGTGATCGAAAGTAGAAAAACCCAGTAGACTCTATTTTATTTATACTTTCTATTCATTCGTTCCCTTTCGTGAATTTTCTAGTTTTCTTTCAGAAACACCAAGATCTTTGCGGAAGAAATAAAAAAAAAAAAAAAAAGAAAATGAGATGAAAAAAAGAACGAAAGAAGGAAGATCTTAACATGAATTATCCTACGAAGGTATTGTGCACGATTTGTAAGAAAGAAAGAAAGAAAAGAAAGCGAAGATTTTTAAAAAGAGAAACGAGGGAGGGGGAGAGAAAAATGATAAAATAAAAAAGATATTAATAATCGCAATAATAATAATAATAATAATAATAATAATAATAATAATAATAATAATAATAATAATAATAATAATAATAGTTGTAATTATTATATAATAGTAATAGTAACGGCATTAGGACGCAGTAATAATTTCTGATCGAAAAAAAGGAATACAAGTTACGGGTTCTTTCTTTTTCTTCTCTCTTTATATATATATATTTATTATATATATTTTATCATTATATATATATATATATATATAACAAAGAATCAAAGGGGAGGGGGGGGGAGGAAGAAAACAAAACGAAGAAATTTACAACAATATCGCAAGTTAACAACAATATCAGTTACTTGTTTCCCCGCTCGAAATATCGATTTTTCAAAGCCGGTCCGCTTGAGTGTATGTATAATTCAAGATCCGAAGCATAACGAGCTCCAAACGAAGTCGGTTGTTTGGGCAATCGTGAAATCGGGTTGCGCAGGTCTCTTTACAGATAAGATTAAAGATATTATACTATCTCGGTTATGAAATGGCCCTGCTGCTCTATCGTTCATGTACAGTTTTACAATCGATATACCGAAATCGGACGAGACCGAAAGGAGAATTTATGTACAATACACTGCGTGAGAGTAACAACCACAACAACCATACCTTCGTCTTCGAATCGCGATTCGATCGATTTGTTGTTTCGTAAGACTCGATTCGAGGATCTTAATTATGGGGTGGAATCGAAGGGCTTGAAGAAAGATCGATGCACAGAATATTCCTCACTTCTCTTCGAAGAGGACGTAATAATTCTCTTTGCATTCATTGAGCACAGATTTTGACTATATCTTGACGATTAAATAAAAAAAAAAGAAAATTTCATAAATTAAACGTTATATCCACGAAAGCTTTCATTTAGTTCCTTCTTTTCTCGAATAATCTTCTTCTTATCCTCGAAGACTGTGTTTTAACGCAATTTCGAATGGATGACAGGATTATAATTCCAAGGATTATAATTTTCAACAGTACGATTTTTTTCTATATAAAAAGTAATCAGAAAGAAAGAAGGGAAAAGAAACAAGAAAAATAAAATATATCCTCAACGATCTCTTCGAGAAACACGAAACGTGAAAGAAAAAACAGGCTACTCGCACCACGTTCTCCGAACCCTTCGACGCCTCTCGCTCGTCAATCGGCCCCAAAAAGCACGTGTTTTCCAGCGACTAATCGTAGCGACTTCCTAGGTAGCAACGACGCGCGACCATCGTTCGTCGAATAACGCATCGCCATCTCTTTCTCTCCAAATTTTAATTTCTCTCTCTCTCTCTCTTCCTCTCTCTCTCTCTCTGTCTCTCTCTCTCTCTCTCTCGCTCTCGCTCTTTCTCTCCCCGTTCTTTCATTTTTTGTTTTTCCTTATTTTCCGGACGGTGGAACTCACCTTGACAGAGCAAGGCCCGGCGCTACTCGCGTACCGCTTTGTTCGTCAGCGTCGGGACGCCCTGCGCCGCGTCGATCGTTCAGCTGTCGACGCTGAAAAGCTCTTTGTGAAGGGCCGGGAACTCGAGGTGCGGCTGGGACCGTTTGAACTTCGCCAGGGCGTCCATGTGCAACAGGGAGATCTCGCGGAGCTGTGGTATCTTGGCGAGGATCGCGTCGCACACCGTCACGTCGCCCTTTATGGGCGACACGTGGTTACGATCCAGCTCCGACCTGAGCGCCCTGATCACCGCCTGGGACAGTCTCGTGATTTCCGCGAGCCCTTTCAACCCCGGCCGATCTGAAAATGTTATTTTTGGAAATTGTTTATTTCTTCTACCACATCCGGATTAAAGAATCAGAAAACATGTGTATCCTGATGTTCGATCAGGATCCAATTGTTGCCACATTGTCAGCCGTAATTTGTTGTAAAAAAATATCATACGGCGAATTTCGTTTTTTATTAAACGATTTTTGTAAAATTTGTCAGGAGTTGAACACTGATAACACGATAATATAGAAGTTTAAGCTAAATTTGAATATTTAAAAGTAACGATCTTTGTTCTTCCAAGAAGATGAATGAAATTGAATAAATAAATATAATAAAATTAATTAATCATCTTGAATCAAATGCGACTCGAACTCGTTTAAAAAAAAGTCTCAAGCATAATTTTATTAATTATAACCGGTTGACAATGTGTTGATCAATTTTAAATACAATTTATTAATTTGATTTTCCAAAATTTAAACGATTTTCCAAAATTAAATCGTTTGTATTCTTTGTTCTATCGTCAGTGATCTGGAATGATTGTTTCTCGAGCTATGCAAAGTTTAAAATCACAGAAATTGTTTACTACGTCTCCGTCTTATATTTCGTCTTCGTTTCTTTTGTCGAGTTGTTGTTGGTCGTGAAGAGGAGGGATAGAAGGGGGAAACGAGATGCTTCCGTCGAACGAGTATTTATAAGCGACGATTAATTTTGTGGAGGAGAGTTGTGACGAAATGGGACGAATTAAGCAGGCTGGGGATAATTAGGGGACCGTGTTCCTGGATAATTTTAGAGAGTGAATCAGGGACAAAGAGAAGAATGCCGGGAACTTGATATCGTGGTATTTATATATACAGTAGTGTCGAGTAATTTAAACATAGGGATAATCATTTTCTGATCGATCAATGGAGTTTTACTTTTTTCTATGCATTTCTTTCCTCGATGATTATTTTGAAACTTGAAATTTTAGATTTTCTTTGGTTGAACACTGCGATTAATTAATCGCGATGATTTTAATATCATCCTCTTTGCAGTTATCGAATCGATTATCGTTGAAGATACTCGACTTTGAAATGAATAAATTCTTTTGACTTTAAAGAGCACGAAAGCATCAAAGATCGTATAATTGCATTTATTCAGCTTAACGAGACGCTACTATTTGTTCTCCATTTTTTTTTCTTTTTTGTTTTTTTTTATAAATGAAAAGAATCCCGTGATGTATTCCGATCGATCACTGTAAAAAAAAAGATACTACCATGATAGACCTTTTGATTAAACGACGAGTGGTGATATTTTCAAAGTGTTACTACGATTGAAAAGAAAACGTTTTTTTTTTTTTTTTTTTTTTTTAAGAGATAATTAGAAGACTTTTGAAAGCTTAACTAACCGGGGCTAAGGAGAACCGCTGCACTGTAAAGAGCCAGCTCTGTTTCCGTAAGCTTCAATTCGGCAATACTCCTGGCCAACTCAAACACGCAAGAGACAAGCTTCATTTCCGCCGTATCTGTCGTGTAAAACGCGTCCTGAGGCAACATAGTGTCACCATAGAGGACACAGTTCTGCTGGAGATCGAGGTACCTGCTCATACGTAGCACAGCCAACTCGAAGGAACCTGAAAGCATCGAGTATTAGCGTACAGTGATCCGTATCTATCGTAATAAATAGAAAAATAGTTTGGCAATTTTATTTTCTAAAATTGATCCGCTCGTGTTTCCTCGACAAAGCAACGAAAGATCGTTTGTATTGAATTTATATGGCAAACGGTCGTAAAAAAAATTGAAATTCTTGTTAACAGTGCTCAATGATTACGCGCGTGGAATTAGACTTTTATCTGCCCGCTTGTTGCAATTTTTCTTCCTCCCAAGATAAGACGCACGACTACGCGAATATTTATTTAGCTCGAATAATAATATTTTGCTTTGACAATATTTTTTAATAACGTATGCGCGATTTACATTTGCACAATTTCCATTTACCAAATTTCTCTTCGTTTCCCTGTATATAAAACCATTTTCCTTTTCTGTTGAGAATAATTGATTTCTCTTAAATTAATATCATAAAATCTAATTGTTAATAATAACGATAACAAAACAAATAAACAAATTTGATTTATAAAACTAGGTAATTTTTGATAAAAAAATATTAAAAAGTGGAATCAGACGTCTCAGTCTTCCAAAGAAGATAACTAAATTCAGATCACACTTACCAGCCTTTAATAGAACAATCTGGTCGTCCTGCGAGAGCTTCATGAATCCAGGAACCATCTTGGCGAACTCGATGATCTGCTGGATAACGGTGGTTAGTTTTTGGGCACACTCGAGCCAGAGCTGCTCGTGCGCCATGTTCTTGTAGTAGATCAATCTGGAGAGGTCGTGCGGCTTCCGGAAAGATTCCTGGATCTGTTCCGTCGACAGCAGACACGTTCTTGCGTGTGCATCCGCTATCGTTTTTGAGAGCAGCTCGCTGATCTGTGCCGGATCTACGAAAATTCATCGGAGAGGCGGGTTGAAATCTCGCTCTTTAAAAAGTACACGTTTTCATCGAGCATAATCGAAATGAATATCCAACAATCATATTCTACGTATCAAAAAGACTATTACGTTGAACAAGATATATATTTATTTATATATAAAACACATAGAAAAATTGTCAATTTTTTAAGAACACGTATAACATGAATAATCGAATATACATATGTATAATATATTAAGCGACAGTCGATTAAAAGAAGAAAAAAATTCTACTTTGATTAGTCTTCTTTTTTTTTTTTTTAATGATTTATGCAATACTATACTTTTACTTAAGTTAGAATACAATGATTCGAAATGAGAGAGCACGTTTTCCAGGTTAAGATCACGAGAGCCAATCCGGGCGGTCGAAACTTAGGATCTGGTCGGTTGTAGATCTCTATAATTACCGCACTTTCAAACTACATTATCGCCACAGTTTACCAGACCCATTTCACTTTGGCTCTCAAGACCGGGAACTTTAAACAATTCCAGCGCTTTGACGCGAATCGCCACCGAGAAATTCAAACCCTTTCATTCAATCTCCTCTCGGATCAACCGGCCATCCTTTATCCTCGTTTCCTTAATTATGGGAACACCGATCAAATGCATCCTGCTATTTACCTCGACGGAGTTTCGTTATAATTTATAGGTTTAATTATAGTATGTTTAAACTTCCAATAAAACGATGCATTCTAACCTAATATACCAGAAAACTTCTTCACGAGTATGGATATCACAAATAACTTTATCTCGACCAAATTTCTCTCAAATTCACCTCTCTCCCGTTCAGAAACACAGAAAAAACGTACTCTCCCATCGACGACGAAAAAGAAGAAGAAGAAGAAGAAGAAGAAGAAGAAGAATAAGAAAAAGAAAAAAATACAATATACAAAATAAAAAACACCGATCGGTTTAATTCACCGAGCCGAGAAAAAAAAAAGTCAGAATATCTCAAACCGTAACAGAAAGAGAAAAAAAAAAGAAAATAAAAGAAAAGAAAAAAAGAAAAAGGAAAAGAAAAAAGAGAAACGAAAGAAAAAAAGCACGACACATGCCCATGCAAAGGGACACAAACGTAACCTCACATCTCGCATGGGACATACTGGGCAGACTCGGCACTTCGTCGTCCTCGGATGGATTGCTGACCCTCTGTTGCTGACCGCTCAGAAAGGTCGTCGAGTCGACCATCGTGTACGAGCCGTGGCCCAAGCTGGCCAGTTCGACGGTGGTCTCTTGCTTAACAGCAACGATTCCACCCCCGCTCAGGGAACCGGCACCACCGCCGCCACCGGCGGCCGCACCGCCCCCGGTGCCAGAACCGCTCCCTCCACCACCCGAGCCACCACCACCGGATCCACCACCATTACCACCGCCACCACCGCCACCACCGCCTCCGCCGCCGCTACTACCACCACCACCACCTCCACCACCGCCACCACCACCACCACCACCACCACCCCCCGTGCTGCTTCCGGTCGTCGAGGCAGACAGCGACTTCCCTGGTACGCGAAAAGTCAAAGGTTCACCTCGGTCTATGTACCCCCTTTGCCACGTTGCTATACGCGTATTTTTCTTTTGTTCCTTTTTTTTTTCTTTTCTCTCTCTTTTCGTCTCTACGTGTTATTTTTCATCTTTCTTTCTTCCTTTCTTTTCTTTTCTTTTCTTTTCCTTTCGTTATCTTCCGTTTTTTCCCCCCCTTAAGCGACAAATCACGCTGCTCGGATACGAGCGAGATCCTCGAGTTTTTTCGATGGAATGGAACCGGCTCGCAGAGGATCATACGTAGGGATTTGCTGCAGGATATTTACGGGTAATGGATCGGGGAGGCCTTTTCTCGAGAATGAAATGTGGTTGCACATCGATCGATCCCGTTTTTTTTTTACACAGGTAAATTTAGAATTTAAGAATTGTTTTTTTTTTTTTATACGTTAATAAATTAAATACGGCAATTGTTATAATTAGAACAGTGTAGAGGCGAAAGTATATATTATTCGAGGCTAAAAGGAATTAAATATTTATTTTACTATTACGTGAGTGAAAATTTTGAAAATATTTAAATGGAACGAGAGAATGCGCTTTTTCTCTTTGTCGTCTTTTTAATCTTCTTCTCAGCTCTGAATATATAACATATAATATGTGTACGATTTTGTTAAAAAGAGGAATCTCTTATTATACGAAAATTAATTAACGGAAGGATCGCATGCATTTACGAGAGTCGTGACTTTTTAAAATGTTTTTTAAAGTAGTAATGCACTTTCGTGATCACGCTTTTCTACAAACTCAATTCTATCTTTATGATCGTTACTTGAAGTTACACGATATCAATATTATTCACCGAATGCGTCTCGTTCAGTCAACTGGAAGTAGTGATAAACACAGTAATTGTATCAGCCGCGTGCTACTAAAAGGGACCAGTACTACTTGGCGCTGCTTGTTCATCGATTGACATCTTGTTACCACTCTTTCGTTAACAATAAACTTCAATGGAACTATAAACTAACGGGTTGGCTCGGCTTCAGCTACGTCTGCCAGTCGGCCAGATTCACGTTCGATCAAAATTGAAAATGTGCATCGCCAATGAAATTTGTAGACCGTATTAACCGTTGAAATATCAGTTTCATTGCAGAATCTTTATGGATCTCTTATCTTTTATATCTAAGAATACAGAAATCGACGATATATTGAAAAGAATTTTCATCAGTGATGGATTCGATTTTAAAGATCAAATCTCAAATTACTCATATTCCATAAATTATTATTCTTCTAAAAAGATGTTGTGAAATAAAATATATATAATTACGTTAGATTTCTTTTCATTGGAAGATTCAAGCGGAAGGAAAACGAATAGATTGAAAATGAGCAGAAATTCAAAAAACGTACGTCTTTAATTTTCCAAATTAACCTGATGATGATCGATTATTTACACATATAAACGAAATCAAGAATTTCTCCTTTTTGAAAAAAGTTTTAAAGCGATCCAAATATTTCTTTCTCGTTCTTCTCGGAAAGAGAGAGAGAGAGAGAGAGAGAAAGAGGGAAGGAGGGAAGGTAAATTAAAATACTCACCGGTGGTGACCACGCTGGGAAGTACCCCAGCCGCTGTGACAGCGGAGGGCGTATCAGGGGCGACAGTGTCCGCGACCTGCGTCTGCGTCGGTCGTGGATCGTAGGTCGTCGTGCTGTCGACGTAGTCGGCGCTAAGCTCGTAGTTCGTCATCGCTTGATGATTGTAATAACCCGACCCACCCGTGCCGGGGCCAGGGGAAGCGTATTCACTACCGCCATACGTATACCTGCGCCCACAAATCGAGATGAGGATAAAAACTTCCCGTCCAACCGAGTTTAATTGATAATTATTGATGGAATAACACTTTTACTTGGACCACTCGTTTAGAATATCTTATTAATATATTTATGAAAAAAAAAAAAGAGTACAAAGTACTCGAAAAGTATATTACAATATTCAAGGAATAAATGTTAAAGAAAAAAATGACTTTAATTAAGATAAATTTGTCCTTTGTCGATGACGTTTCTCAGAATCTCACTCACCCGCCATTGAAAGGATGATGCTGATCCGAACTGCTTGGGGTCTGATGTTCAAACACACTGCTGTCGGGCGCAGTCTCGGAGGCCGCTCTCATTTGTGCCTTGTGGAACCTAACTTCGTCCTCGACCTTCTCCCGCTGCTTCTTCGACATGCGCCCAAATTTAACGGCTGGAAAGAAGAATCGGATGATACACCCTTTAACTTTTCCAAAATGTCTACTCAAATCTCTTATAACATACTAAAAAGTTATATAGATAATAATTTGATTAAATCGAAATGCGAAAAGAAAATCTTTGTTTAGAGCCCACGTACATATTTACTCGTAAAAGATCACTGTACATCTCTTCAACGATAACAAAAAATTGGGATGAACAGGCGAAGAAAGATCTGAATTTTCTTCTCTATTTATCCCCTTTAACAGCGATTATTAATTTATCTCATTATCGCCGATCAACAATCCCTCTCTCCACCAACGCCATACAAAAGCTGAGCACGCACTAAATCAACTGGGATCGTCGATTTTGAACGTTTCTCCCATCCATTCCACTTCGATCATTTTGCATGCAGGCATACGGTTTGAATTGATCGTTGGATACGGGTTAATTGGATGGCGATCGATCCGATCAAACTTCGGAAGAGTGTAACTTTAATGAAGATCGAGGATCGATCGTGGCCGTGCATATTGCTCCCGTTTATAAAGCGAACGAGAGAACTGCACCAAAGAAACTGTTCTGATTCGTGGAACGCGGAAGTTCTTTGCATCTCGTCGTCGTTACTTCTTCGTCGTTATCGGCCGGCTCGGATGCACCCACCCATCCCAGTGACGTCACCGCGCGGCACCAACACCGGCCAACAGTCGTGAGCGCGCGCGCGCGCGCGATACGGCTACGTCACGCGAAGCGTTCAACAACCGCTAGAACCTGAATCGTCTTCTTCGTATTCCTTTTTCTTCCGTGTTCTCCAGTTTCTCTTCAAGTTCATTCGCGAGTTCAGACGAGACGAGACGCGCCTATTTTCAAACGAGCCATTGTTGCCGCGGCTTCCGATTGCCGATTCGAAAATCGATCCTCCGCTTCCGGGGGGGAAATTCGAATCCGCGCGAGCGAAACGGCGAGCTGGATGAAAATGAAGGAAGGAAGGGGAACGTTTGCAGTTATTTTCTCCTCTCTGGGATCAAATTTGATTGGGATTTTGATTCAATCGAAAGGAATTTAGAATTGATTTTTTTTTTTTTTCATTCTTATTCGTTTAATCAATCGCGAGAGTCCCTCTTTGGATTACTTTTGGATTCATTTTGATCCGACGTCGGATCTTCGAGCAACAGATTAGAGGATAAAGTTTAAGAAGTTTAAAAAGATTGTAATTGACGAGATACGACGCTTTAAAAGAACAGTGTGATTCGTTTTAACGATCTCCATTTACTCGGTTGAGTGCTTTCGTTGCCCTTTGCAGTGCAGGATTTCAAAGTGTTAAAAATAGATCCAATTGTGAGAATCCTATTCGAAAACGGGCGCACAGACTTTGTTCGAATTCATAAGAAAACAGATTCGGATACACTTCTACGAATAAACAATCTTTGGCAAATAATATTTTCATTTTGAAAACAGATCGACATGATATAATATATAAGCGTAAAATCTTTCCAATTCTTCATCATCGAAACGAATCAATGGGTAACCATTATTTCAAAATCAAAAAGAAAAAAAATTTCTTACTTCACCAGTTCATCCGCCTCTCGACGAATTAAAAAAAAAAAAAGAAAGACATCGATATGACTGGATCCAAACCCCCCCTCCAATCCCCCAAAATCCGCATCGCAATTAATCAAATCCCAACTCAACATTCCTCCCCCTCCCTCTCCCGCATTCACGCTCCAAAAACCGAATCCTGGCGCCACAGAGGGCAGCTCAGTTTCCGCCCTTCCTTGAAACTCGCCTCTCTCAACGCAACGAATCTCGGATCTCGGTCCGTTTGCTCGGCGACACACGCGTGACTTCACGCACACGACTTCATGCCACCGTGATGTATGAGGGAGAAGAAGAGAGGGGAGGCAGCGCGAGGAAGAGATCCGACAACGGTTTGTGAACGAGAAACTGATGAAAAGGGGGAGAAAGAGAAAGAGAGAGACAGGCGAGCGTCTCTCGCGACCGTCAGCTGCCAGCTGAAACCGCTATCGGGATCGCGCGCGAGGAAGAGAGAAAGAAAGAGAGAGAGAGAAGCGGCCGGACGACGAAGAGGTAGAAGCGGAGGGTGATCGACCGAACGCGGCAAACGAGGGACAGAGAGGGCGGACAGGGGCTCGTGGCGACGAGACGAGGACGAAACGAGGCAGGCGAAGGAGCGTGGCTGCGCGCTCGAGAGGGAGAGAGGGAGGGAGGGAGAGAGAGATGACAACAGGAAGAGTATGCGCGCGCGCGCGCGCGCGCTACCGGTAGCACACGATGCACACGAGCGTGTGTACGAGGCGAGCGTGGAGAGAGGACTGGCGGCTCCTTATCAACCGGCGCAAAATACTCTCTCGTGTATAGAGAGGCGACGCGATTATCGAGGCTCTCGGGGATTTTGCTCTCGTTCGCAGATCGAAGCCAGGGTGGGCATCTCGCGCTCTCTCGTACGCGATACCGGCGAGTTTTCGACGCCGCGTTTTCAGACGAGTGGAAGAGTGGTCGTGGGCCACGAGGTGCGCGGCCGACACACCTCTGGCGCTGGGAGATTCGACGAATGGGGACGTCAATGACCTCGCGGCGGAGCGTTCCGGCCGGTGAGGTGTTCGACGTTTCGGTTTTGACAGCGGGGAGCGATGGAGGGGGAGGAGGGTGGAGAGAGGTTTGGGGGGAGTTGATGCGTGAGAATGCCCGGTTTGAAAGGGGGAGGAGAAGTATCGAGGATGAGTAATTAATTTATGGTCGAATGAGTTACGGTTGGATAGATGACTGTCCTTACGTATTTGGTATCGGGAGAATTCCGTGGAAGGGAATCTCTTGGAAGTTGTTTTGTCCGGTTCTAGGTAGGAAATATTGCTCGTGACCCGACCTCCGTTTGATCCAGTGCGTAAAGCAAGGGCCTGTTGGAGAAGAATCTAGGAAGAATCTATACGTATAAATGCATCCTTCTTTCCCGTTACTTTTTTTCCTCTTCTTCATCTTTCCTTCTTTATTTCCTTATTACGAGGCAAATGATGCTTCCGAGGTTGAAAGGTTCTTTTTTTTAGGAGAGCTAATAAGAAATCCTGAGATCTTTCGAAACCGAAGAGTGATCGTAACACGATTTATTGGAATTTCTTTTAAAAACGGGGAAATATTAAATATAAATGAACTCGTGAATTCAACTCGACGAAGGTGAACGGCTGATTAACGGTTAAAGCGCAGATTTCAGATCGATCGATCGATAAATGTTATTTTAATCTGCCGATTAGAGGAGGATGTTATCCGATAAGCGAGGTATGAACGAGAGGAAGACCGATTGAATCCTTATCGAGCATTTGCAAACAAGGTTCGAGGGAATCGAAAAACCAACTTGTAGGATATTTTCCACCCTTCGACGAGACTAATTTATTTTTTTTCTGAAAAAAAAAAAATGTACACTTGCCTACTTGTGTACTACTTTTTGAAGAACCTTAAAAAATCTTTATAATTTTATCGCTGGTTCTAAGAAATGGCAAATGATGTGTAGAAAACTAAATAAAAAAAAAAATATGAAATGAACGGCAAAGTTCATTCTTTCGTATCAAAAGCAACTGGCGCGATTTCATTCAGACACAACCGCAATGTCCTGCTTTTCGGCTGCTACTTATCGAACGTGGCTTTTTATCTGACAGGCAGAAACCTGAAAATTCAGCGAGTGTTCATTAAAAAACTTTACTCGCAAAAAACGAAACTGTCGAAACAACCTCTATGGAACACTTCAACACTCAGTAAAATAGTACTTTAAAACACTATACAAATTCGAATCCTTTTCGAAAATTTCTCTTTAAAACGATAATCACGTGTATTGTAATTAACCTTCATAATTCGATATCGAAGAAATTTCCAAAAAAAAAAAAAATAATAATAATAATAATATATCCTCCTCCAAGAATTCAGAATTCATTCCCTTCTTTCATTCTTGAAATCGTCATCGATATAAAATCTTCGAGACGAGACGGTTTTCGGATTTACAAGCAACCTGCTTCCACATTATCGAAACACAAACGTTAAACCCCATGAACGTCGTCGTTAAACGTGTCCAAGACATCTCGTGTACACTCTAGGTCCGATAAGGTGCAAGCAACTCGGCAAGAGGCCTAGCTGCATCGAGAGGAGAGCGAAAGAGCGAGAAAGAGGAAGGCGTGCGGGGGTGTTGAGACGCAGAGGGGGGGAGTCGGGTCGAGAGGAGGGCTGGACAGCCTCCGATAAAGGGTCGTACACCCCGAGCGGCACGCGTGGCCGCTGCTATCCCTGTGTATCTGATTTGACGAGTCTCTTTCTCTCCCCTTTCCCCTCTTCCCCTATCTCTGTCATTTCAACGCGACGAATTGAATGTTTACGAGCGGTGTCGTCATGGTAATGCGTGGAACGCGTAAATTTGCGAAATTTCGTATCGATCGGAACGAGTGAAATTGGAAAAACGTTCCATCTCTGAAAATGTTTCCCAAAATATATATATATATATATACATATATTCTATCCGGCCATTGTGACACTTGTGTTTCATGTGAATTGGCTTTTGTTGAAATTTCACTTTAACGTCGTTTCATAGGGAACAATGGATTCGGGAATAATACAATGCATGGCCAATTTGCGTTATCGAAACGATTCAACTTGTTTTTTTCGCTCGCTTCCCCTCCCTCCTCCCTCGACGAAATATCTTTTTTTTTTTTTTCATTTTAGACACCCTGTACATGTTGGCATACGAGTTCGTACGCAAACATATTGATAATTTTTATGGAACGCTTGTCCCCGTGTTGAAAGTACAAATCGATGTATTACGGTATATAAGCTGTGCAAACAAGCAGCACACGTTAACTGTATATTTCATATGAATATGAATCGTGACACCGAATGAGATATAGATACGAAAAATAGTGTATAGGGATACGGATCGTGATATAAATTTCTATTTCGTAATTCATCAATCTTGTCGCATTCGGTGGAACAGAGAGAGTTTAATACGTATGTATACACGTACGGTGGTAAGTATACGTTTTACGTTTTTGTCGTGTAATTTAAACTGAGCGATAACGGTTGAAACAAAGAAATTTCTTTTTCATATCGACGCTTCTCATGATTTGTTGCATCGTTTCTCCTAGCGCGACACTCGTCCATAAGCATTATCGTATATAGTTCACTTTTGTTTGTCAATTTCTTCCTCCCCTCCATTCCCCCTGTAAGCTGTAAGATAATAAAAATCGAACGATCCCTCGTGACTATCTAAAATTGCATTAGAACGCGAAAATTCTGAATCAACAACGTACAAAGGAATGATACACGATCGAGCGCCCTCGATTTTCCATAAACTTTTAACAAAGAAACGATAAAGTTGGTTAGACTCTAATATATTCGTGCGAATTATATTTTTAATTGAAAGAAAATGAAAAATAAAGGGAAATTTATTTCGCTATCTATTTTCTATGTTTGTAAATATTCATGTTTCAAATTATAAAAATCAATATATATATTTATTCAGCGATATTAGAAAAAAATAAGAAAAGAAAATTTAAATCAAATTTTTCTCCACGATGACAAAGAATATCACATTTAATCTAATGTTCAACAATATCAATTTCAGAATAAACATTGATCGAATCGAACGATATCCATCCATGTAAATTGCTCATCGGATTGGCATCGTTTCCCAAGCGACGATCGTTACGTTTTTCTCGTTAAAGGATTATTGCAAGTTCTCTCTGACAACCTTGAAGTTGTTGGAGAAAACGGAGGCTCGGATCAACGATATGCAGCACTCACCATCTCTAGACATGCCGAGGCGTAGGCACTTTTGCAACCGACAGTACTGGCACCGGTTTCTGTTTACACGGTCGACCACGCAATTCTTGTTCCGCGGACATTGATAGTTGACGACCGACGACTGGGACCGCCTGAAGAAGCCTTTGCAGCCCTCGCAGGTGATCACGCCATAATGAACACCGCTGCTCTTGTCGCCACACACCTTGCACGGGATTATTTCGATCTGGGCTGAAAGCAAACGGGGAAAAAATCGTTAAATTCGTGATCACTCTGGTAATTGAGAATCGACTCTTGCGCATGAACGCAAACCCGTTCACTTTCGTTTCTCTTGCTTGATGAATCGATTCTAAGTTTTGTAAGATATGGTTCTTTTTTTTTTTTTTTTTTNTTTTTTTTTTTTTTTTTTGTTTAGATTAAAAGATTCTTGGTATTTCGATTTCTTCTTGTAGTTGACTCTCTTGTCTTACAATTCAATCGAAAGATATTGATATCAAGAGTTCGTGTACAAATCGAGTTAAAATAAAATTGAGTGAAGAGATGAAAATATTCAGAATCATCGAAGAAGAAAAAAAGAAGAATTTAAATAGCTTTCAAAATTTGTATGGTATCTTTATTGTATATTAAAAATGGCGTCTCAAAGACGTCTATTAGAAGACGTCTAGAAGATAAAGAGTTAATATTAAAAAAATTACATAAAATTGCAATTCTTAACAAATTATCAGGATAAGCGTTGAAATTGTTTCAATATCTACAATTTACGTAGTTTCCAGATTCGTGATTGCTATTTCCGTGTCCAATTCATCCTCGAAAATTCAAAATGCAGCCCAAAGTTCTATCAGTTTCGAAGATCAATTTATTTTCTCTTTCGTGTTTCGTTTCTCGATAGCGTGTAATCAAAGAGGAAGACCGAATCCGTCCTCCGTTTTATATGCTGCCACTTTATTCCTGGCTCGTCGAAGTTCATCACACCATTGGTCGTTCTCTAGTATATTTATGGATAACCTTTCTGATTGGAGGACAATACTAGACGGCGGATTCCATGCAACCGCGGGGTCCAAACTATGTCCAAACGCATCTAATAAGCTACGTACGTGTCTTACGGCCGAGGAGATTTCGTATCGGTTTATAATATGGCAACGATAACACGAGCGATAAAAGCGTGACCGTAGTTTTTCACTTCTGGAAAATCAGAAGACTCGAAAGAAATACGTAGCCACTTCGCGCCGCGGAACATCAGCAGGCAGAAAGACACCATTCATCCACAAGTGTTTCTATAAATTGCAATTGCTTATCCCGGATGTTCCCTCCCATCGAATCTTAGAAATCGTCTCTCTAAAAAGGTATCCTTGTCTCGACGGGGAAAAACGTGACCGAAGATTCGCGTTAAAATTCTATTTCCTCCATTGGTACGAGCAATAGCACACGGATAAGAGGGAGGATAATATGTACGATAATTTTTCTCAGATATAATCGTTCCAAGCAAGAGAATTATTTTCAGGAAGTATTTCATATAATAATTTAAAAAAAAAGAATTAATAAAAGCTAAATCCAGATTTCAATGTTAACTTTGATTTGCCTTATTTCGAGACTAAGATCAATTCCAAATATTATAAATAATATCAGGTTCAGATAAAATTATTGGTATAACAAACTTGATTTAACGAGATATTCTTATTCTTCCACCGACATTACAAATAAAATCGTATTCGTCAACGATAAGAGAAAAATGATGCACAAGATCCCATCGGATGTATTACAGGAATATCGATCGTACGAAAAAAAAAAAAAAAGAAAATTTATCATAGCCAACGAGTACCTCGTATAGAATTGACTTGTAGCCTACGATCGTCCAAGAGTGTATTTTCCGGACTTGCGGGGGTTTGCACTGGTACCCTGGTTCTCGTTTCCGGTGGCTGAGGGCTCGTGCTGTCCGCCCCCCAACTTGGCCCACCGAACGTAGAGAGACTTCCCTCCATTTACGTTCCACTCTATGGTGGCGTTTCATTTAAAAATCTGCCCACCAACGTTCCCCGCGCATAACAACATCAGAATAGTTTTTCTCCCTTTTCCACGGAATTCACGATCGGCACCTATTTCTTCCAACCATTCATCGTTCACGCGTAACAGTTCACATCACACTGCCGTTACAGTCCCACCAGCGTAGCGGTTCAACTTTTTCACAGTGTTCCGTCGAAAACAATCGTGAACAGTTTCCACAACTCGGTCATAGATGAGAGAGAGCGTTCCATCGATCGTGAGATCGTATAATGAAATGAATACACCCTCCTATTCTGGACACGTTGCGTGTATCCCGCGAAGAGGAGAGGGGGGTGAGGATGTCCCGGAGAGACGCGAGAGAATTTTCCACAGCCGGATTCTAAAGAGGATCGTCGGGACGAGGAGAATTAGTGGCTGATACCGGTAACCGATCTCTCGCTCGATCGAGCTGCATGAGAGCACAATCGTCGAGAGAGCGCACAATCCTCGAGTGTATAATTCGTGCCAATAACGAGACGAGGTTCCCTCGAAATATTGCAAAACGAAGTTATTCTTCGAACGCTCCTTTTACAACACTCTCTCCTCTGCTGAAATTACCGTATTATTATCGTTCGTAACGTAGATCGGTCGTCCTACGACGTTGATCGCGAGGAGAGGGGCACGTTGAAAATCTTCGTTCCAACGATTTCCAGCCGGATCCTATTTATACGCCTTCTAACCTGGATTTCGACCAAGAATACACCCTGATCCCTACACCGTGAACCCCAACCCCTAAATCAATCGCGGCTTACAGGCCTCGCTCTGTAGAACGCGCCATCAGACACGGAATGCGCGCGACAAATTCCTGTCTCGAGTTTAAACCGCATCGATCACCTCACGCTTCTCCTTCGTCCACGAATGTTCAACTTGTTTTATATATATATTTATATCAAATCGAAATAATCCATCCTGTTATAGGTTTGGAGAGGGTGGCCGAAATTTTGCGAGAAAGATCGAGAAACGCGTCGGAAAACGAGGTAGAACGTGGAAAGAGCGCGATGGGACGGAGGAAAAGAGTAGAAATGCGGCTGCTGCAGTGGCTCCCGTTGCCCTCTATTTTCGTTCTCAGCTCGGTAATGCTATATCTATATCGCGAGGGCGCTAAAGCAAGACAGAAGAAAGAGGGTGTGCTGGTGCACGAAGAAGAGAACCGGCATGGAAGGCGAAGCGAGAGAGGAGGGAGAGGAACGACGTTCTCGTGTGTAAGTATATGCATGTGACGTAGATACACGTATATATATATACACTATGCATGAATGTATCTCTGTATGAATTTGTACATCTGATACATTCGCGTATCTACAGTTGCTCACACAAACGTACTCGGTTGCGTATATATTTTACGAAAAATTGTAAATAGAAACAGTTAGAAATTAATTTTTAAACGTTCAACGTATTCTAGAATGATAGACTAATAATCTGGGATTTAAACAAAATGTATAAAAGATACTCGAATAGCTGGACACTTTTGTGCTCTGTCCTCTGTATATATATATATATATATATATATATATATATATATGTATATATGTAGTTACGTATACTACATACATACATATATATAAGTACATTCGCGCGCACGTGTGTCGGTTGGTAGAGGCGACTACCGTATTGGAGCGAGGAGGATTCGGTGCTGGCCGTGTCTGTATATCGTGGTTCTCTCGTCCGACAACTCTAGCGCCACGAGTAGCGTCGAGGCGCTTGCACCATACGGTCGAACATTACATAACCGAGAACGATGAACCCAGAGTACAGTCACCCGGCACGCTCGCATCTTTGATGTGCGTCATGCCGTTGCCTCGAGGAGAGTGCACAGCGCCGGCTACTATATACATACCCCGGAACTCCCGAAATCGAAGCCACTTTGTTGTACCTTTGTCCATCCGCGAGCGCTCGCCTCTCCTCTCCTCGTATGCAGCGATCGTACGCACGTATTCGTATACGTGTGCGTACGCGATTCGTGGTAAATAGCCGTGGAATGGAGGAAAGCGAGAGATTCTGTATTTCTGCCAGACCACGGAAACAGGGATCGTACGATTAACGTTCGATTTCGCGAGGCCGGCTGGAACTTATCCAAACCTTTTTTCCTTTCGCGAAACGATCGCACGTGTACACGGGATCGACATCTTCGAGACTTTTTACGATCGTATCGAAAATTAAGGAATCGATATCGTCCGATCTACGGCGACCACGAATCGTGTTATTAATCGAGTTATCGAAATTGCCGAGCCGGGGTGAGCTTTAGAATTATTTTACGAACAGCTGTAACCGGGAAGAAACTCGTATATACTCGTTGTGGTTGTATCTATGGATTCCGATGAAATTCCAATTACGAAAGAGGGACGGAAAATATGTGGGAGGGAGGAGAATACGTAGGAACGAAGGCTAGAGTCGAAAGGGAATTTCTGTTAAGGTTTCTTCGTTGTCGAAATCAAAATCAATCTAGTGGTAACTAGTAATCTCCCTATCGATACTGCGCTATATCAGGATAAATGAATCGAACTTGAGGCTAAAGTCGAAATTAAATCACGTAATTTCGTGAATTCCTTTGAGAGGATATATATTAAGATTTCCATAGACGGAGATAAAGATGAATGCGAGAACGATAGATTAGGAGGAGCAGAGTAAATAATGGAAAGAAGCAAATAGTAGAAATATCCGAAAGCTTAATCGTTGCATACATGTTCTTAAATGGTTTTTAGTTAAAGATTTTAAAAACGAGAGTCAGTGAAAGTAATATGCATGGTTAATGTATATCGAAATTTGAATCATAATTCTGTTTTGAACTGATCGTGTTCGAGATAATTCAGAGCGAGGGAGAATGATCTTAACCTCTTTAAAATAGACATCATAAGTGTAAAAAAAAAAAAAAGAATTTTACTTAGAAATGTGAATTACGATTTGTTATTAGTGATGAATAAGTAAAATAAGAATTAAAGAACACGTGTATATACAACTTGCAAGTCACATGGCATTGCACAGAGAGTTTAAGTACTGGACGGATGAACCGGCAAGTCATCAGAGCTTTACGACACGAAGTAGAAAGGGAATGATCAAAATAAATAAAATGTCTTTCGTTTGAAGAGGCTATTACGAACGTCTATCATCGGCAGAAACATTAAAAGTCACTAACTTGGGGCATGTAGTAGTTCGAAACTACCGTTACAACTTCCGGTGAAATCTGAGACAAG